CTTCTATTATTGTTCTTCTGTGTACTGTACCTGTATCTCAAGTGTGCGTACACACCAGATAAACAATACAAGGGCTATTGAAACTTTTGAAGTTATTGAAGAGAGTAGATATTGCAGTCACTTTAAATGAAGTGTCAATCTGCAGTAGTGCTTCTGTTCATAACTCAAAATTAATGCAGTGTATTCTTCATTGTACATAGCAGGATGCACTGTTAGCAAATCGCACACAGGTAAATTCACCACTTAAGGTCGAGATCTTATCCTCCAAATTATGAAATTCAAACAAAAGAAAGAGCCACTTAAAGAGCTCTGTCTTAATCACACAGCTCACATTACACGCCAGTCTTCTGATAAGTGTACTTTTTCCCATTCCTCTATGTCAGACGTCTGTAACAGCATCCATATGATCTGTTTCCAGAAGGAAATAGGACTTATGGATATTGAAGAATCAACCACACAATCATGTGCAAGGGACCTGTTACCAGTATTCAGGAGAAACACATTTTGCATTCTTGACAGGCTCCACAGAGCAGGTTCACAGAGACCCTAGTCCCATTTTATAAGCCTTCAGTTTTTTACCATGAACCAGGGGATTGTTCACAGCCATGTGTGCCATTAAAGGGAGACAAATGGTCAGAGGATATGTCTGCAATGTGTGAAAATACATTTGGGGATCTCACCATGAAGACTTAAACACAAATTTAGAACACAGCTGATAACCTGAACGTAAGCCCTTTTAAGTATATCCATAGATCCCTTGGTTTGCACTCAATTGCCAAAAGAAGGGCTGGTGGAAATGATTGTTTTAGACATATTATAAGCTTATTGAATTAGAACTTCTACGTTTCTACCAATAGGCCTCGTTCTAAAAGCATTTTGTAGGAAGAATACACAGCACTTTTTTTAGAGGGTGAAGGCTCTTAAAACATAGAATCTCAGTACAAAAACTGACACCAGCTGTTACCAGCAGTCTAACATAAAGGGGTACAATATGGTGGAAGGTATAACGTGGCCCCCATCCCCCAACTTCCCCAACCTCACTAAGCACAAGGTGCGTGTAGGAGACTCAATACAGATGGTTTCTCCTCCTATGTAGTCACCATAATGTTTATCACAAGCAAGATGAAACCATTCACCTGTTGATAGTATCTCATGAATGAATGAAATGTGCTCATCAAGATACAGTACTGGTGGCTTTTATATTCGGCTAATAAGTCCGACACTGAGTAACACAGAACTTAGGTCAGTCGCAAAACAAGAGGGCACAGTCGATTAACATTTTCATTGGCACTATGCTGTATGTGTTCATTTAACATAGAGACAGGAAAGCAATTTTCTTAATTTCACCAAGCATCTATCCATTTTCTAAGCATGTTTATCTAATACAGGTTTGCAGGGAAGCTGGGGCCTATCACAGCAGTCGGTAGGTGCAAGGCAGGATACACCCCGGATGGGACGCCAGTCCATTGAAGGTATACACAGACACGCACTGTCATGGCCATGCATAATCAGACACAAGCCTCCACTATTTTCCTGCAAACGCTGACTTGTTACTGAATCATCCAATCGGTCACCACCATGCCAGAGTACTTGAGGGCTTCTTCCCACCATCTTCGTGCTAAGTGTTGGGTATCCCACTGGAGCTCCTAACCTTCGTGTGTTCTTGCTACTTGTGTGCTGTCTGTTTCCTGAACCTAGTCATGTCATAGTCATGTTTCTTTATTAGCCCTATACAATTTCTTGCATTAGGAATTCGTCTTTTCGCATACCCCAGCTTTTTCTCCAAGGAGACACAGACACACATGCAGGGAGAGAAGCATGGGGTCAGAGCGCAGGGTCTGCCATTGTACGGCGCCCCTGGAGCAGTTGGGGTTAAGGGCCTTGCTCAGGGGCCCAGTGGAGTAGGATTCCTCTGCTGGCCACGGGATTTGAATGGGCAACCTTCCAGTCACAGGCACAGATCCTTAGCCACAGAGCCACTGCTCCGTCCTTCTAAAGAAAAATGCTTTGGGATGTGCGGAGACTCGGGGATTTGAACCAAGCCTCTCACCTCCCGCATCCCAGTGCCCTACAGGACGAGCCACAGCGCCAGGAAATTGTTTTGCATTGGCCGGGAATCGAACCCGGGCCTCCCGCGTGGCAGGCGAGAATTCTACCACTGAACCACCAATGCTGAGCTATTGGTTCAGCATTGGTTAAGCAGCTAATGCTGAACCTCTGGCTTACCGACCTCTGCTAACTAAGACTATGACTTCAGATACTGCGTATTGGTTAAGTACATCTGACTCTCACGAAACCTGTGCTTCAGGTAATATCGCTCACCGCTTAGGGTCTAGCTTTGATCTTGGCTGCTGTGCCATAACACGCACAGACTCGTTCTAGGCCAATTTTTCCAGAAGCCAGTTATCCTACCAGTTTGTCTTTGGATTGTGGAACGAAACGGAAGCACCCGGCACGAAATCCACACGAATAAGGGAGAACTTACAAACTCCAAGCAGACGGCATCCCAAGTCTGGAATTTAACCCAGGGCCCCAACTCTGTGAGGCACCAATGCTAACCCCTAAACCACCCTGCTGCCCATTTAACCAGCCTTCATCTTTGTTTTGCTTTGGAAAATGTACCATATATTTGGGCCAACTGGATAACATCATATTAAACATGTTAAACTGTCTTTAGGACTGCCCCTCAAGTCTCAGTGATTACTACCTGTTAAAAACTGGAACAGCCTTCTGCCACCCCTCCCTTATCCTAGGATAGATGAAGACAAGTAATAGGTTTTTTCCATGCTGAAAAGAGAAGAAAGAAAACACAACATTTCAGCCATGGAGCCTTCTTCAGATGTGAGAAAGACAGGGCAGTAAGCAAAGGTAATGGAGAAGGAGAACAAAAGCTGGGAGAGAGGAGGAGCGAGGGGTGGGAGCAGGGGACACACAGAGTGGTCAATCAGGTAGTGTAAAGTCAGGATAGGTGAAGAGAGGTGTGAAATGAAACCTACAATGAATAGAGATAATTTAGAAGTAAATTAGTCTGTCATTAAGAGAAGGGGAAAGGTGTGATAATTTTAGTTTCTGTAGTCCTTCTGATGTGGGAGTTAGGAAAACCAGCTTTGAGAACACAGACAGGGATACCCACCTGAACTAGATGAAGACAAGCTTGACATGTCTATTATAATCCTTCTCATCTTTTCTGGAGTCCATTCAGCATGTTTGGTGTCACCATATAACTTTCTCTGACAAGCGTATCCCTTACCATTGAAGAAAGCATGCTGGAGTCCTTTAAATGTGCTGCAAAAGTAAAGGTATATTGCATGCTACAAAGAGAAGAAAAGAAATGCAACATTTCAGCTGTGGAGCCTATTTCAAGTGTAATATAATATAATGTCATATCATGCTGCAACTCACAGCTGGCAACTCACTGAAGCTAAGCAGGTGAGAGTCTGGTCAGTACCTGGATGTGAGACCTCCTGGGAAAAACTAAGGTTGCTGCTGGAAGAGGTGTTAGTGGGGCAAGCAGGGAGCGCTCACCCTGCAGTCCATGTGTTTCCTAATGCCCCATTGTAGTGATGGGGACACTACACTGTAAACAGGCGCCTTCCTTCGGATGAGATGTAAAACTGAGGTCCTGACTCTCTGTGGTCAATAAAAATCCCAGGGCGTTTCTCGAAAAGAGTAGGGGTGTAACCCCGGCGTCCTGGCCAAATTTCCCATTGGCCCTTACCAATCATGGCCTCCTAATAATCCCCATCTATGAATTGGCTTCTGCTCTCCTCCCCACTGATACTGTAGCTGATGTGTGGTGAGCGTTCTGGCGCACTATGGCTGCCGTCGCATCATCCAAGTGGGGCTGCACATTGGTGGTGGTGGGGGAGTCCCCATTACCTGTAAAGTGCTTTGAGTGGAGTGTCCAGAAAAGTGCTATATAAGTGTAAGCAATTATTATTATTATTATAATTATAATGTAATATAAATTATTTTGCCTAGAATGAAAACAGAACTGGCAGAGATAAAATGATTAAAATGTAATGCAAACAAGCCCACAATACTGCATAACGGCAAGAAGAATATCAATTAATCTGCATTCGAATAGAAGTGTGTTTTGAAAACAACTGAAACAAACCTTGTATGTCATGCATAATATCAATCCCTTGGGGCAATTTAAGAGAAACAATCAAAGTATGCAAACAGGCCAGTGTTTGTGACTATAGATTCTGCATCACAAATATATGACCCAAACTGACCCATCTGGAGAGAGTGCACCACACTAAATAGAAGATATAAAATGAAAACCTCTAGACTAAAAAAAAAAAACAGACCCCAGGGAAATAATATTTTCATACGATATTCTAAAAAGAATGATAAAAACGATCTCCAGAGTTGTTGTTTTTTTCAGACAGCTCAGAGCAGAAACAGAAAGGCCCGAATATAAAATAAAAAGGAAACAGATTAAAGATCAGTAAGGGGCACTGTCTTACACACAATGCCACATACAATGTATTATGCAGACTGAAGAAGCTGTGGTGAGTTCGGTGTCGATTATTAAGAATGATTACACTATATAGAATTCCTAAGATTTTTAATAAGAAATATTGTAAAGCTCTTTTATAAAGGTGTCCACATACATCAAATAATTTACGCCATGTGACTCATTTGGTAACGTATTGGACACACCATTACAGAACGCAAACAAACCAATTGCATTAAAATGATGAAAACCAATACAGCGTTTTCACTTCATCAAAGAAAACGATTTAAGATTGTGCTAATAGAGACGTTGGAAATATGGATCATACATTTAAACAAATGGCAACTTTAAAATAATTCTATTGGCTTTACCTATCGTCCGTTAATTCCGGATTTAATTAAGATACAAGTTGCTTTAGAGCACGTTCTGTGAAGCGTAATGTTTGCGGTGTAGATACGGTTGCTGTACAGTATTGTAGGGCTGTAGGTTATTCTGTGGTTGTAGAATAAGCCCTCCCACTCCTGGCTTGCCTGTACGGGTGAGGGAGTGAGCAAAGCAGGAAGGAAGGCAAGGCATTGAATGCTAAAAAGGGGAGTTAATGTTCAAGCAGTGCTTAAGGTGGGGGGGTTCAACATCAAGCAATGGAGAGGTACAATTAACCTGATATGTGCCAAATCACAGTTTACGTTGATCGTCATACTCATCATCGGCACTGCCATCTTCATCTTTTTTACTAAGTGAGATGTATCAAGTCTGCATGGGATCCTAATACTGACAATGGAGATTGAAAATATCGTGGCCAACACTGTGCTACTGAAAGCCAGGGAAGGTAAGCAACACTCGGAAAAAAATAGGGGGTGAAAAAAGCCATAACCATAACAAAGGCTTGTCTGTGTTGTTCGTGGTTTGTATATGTTCTACGCAGTGCTTTTCGTTCGTATTTTTCCTAATGTAAATACCTGCCGATCCCTAAACGGAGCAAATACAGTTTGATTTGTTTCCTTTTTATTTTTTATTCTTGAATGAAATGCATGATTGCACAAATCTAAGATCGATATTGGTATTGCGATAGAGGTACCGTACATTAAACAGAATTCATCGATAAATCGCGTTTTATCTGTGTTGTAACATGGGATCATAATACAGCGCAAGATGTTTCATAGCTTGATATTATTGCATTCAGAGCGAATCTCGTATCTAAAATTCGATACTGATATGTTTAATACGAAAGCGCAAAATATCCATTGTTAATGCCAAAATAGTGAAAATGACATTTTCTATTGCATTTCAGAGGTTTTGCCGATATCCTAAGCTGACATGCTCTTTTTCAAATGTTAAAGCACAACATGTCATTATTTGACGCAGAACAGCTAGTATTTTATGGCTCTGCCATTTGAAAAGAACTTGCAGACTTGACCTGTGTTTTTTTGAGGTGGCAGTTTAAGGTTTGCACCAAGGCCTTTTAAAGATTAAGGGAGGCGAAATTGCCTATACCCCAGCTACGTGATCTTTACCTGGGAACGAAGCCCAACTGTAGCCCCAGGCTTCTCGTCCTCTAACATATAGAAAAAAAAGGATATACATTTATACTAATGCGTACTCTCTCACACACACAATATCTATATACAGTCCATTAAATAGATCCATAAATGCCAAAACTGTTGAATACTGATGCTTTGTTACATTTTAAGGGCGCACAGCTCTCAATGGTTACATGTAATCTAGCACTATAGGGTGATTTGAGGTGGGGGGCGCTCGTTTAAAGTATATGTTGGAATATTTTTATGTTACATTTTGTAATGGGAATTAATTAGCAGTCATGAATTGGTCACGAAATATTTTCTTCTGAGTGTTATTCCAGTTTTTGACGTCAGGAGAAAACGGTTTGAAGAACTGCAACTTAAGGGTTCTTTAAAAAATATTTTTTAGATATTTATATTAAAAAAGTAATTAATCTTTTACTAATAGATTTTCAAATTTAGAAAGTACATTGGTTAAAATTCATATCTATTTATTGATGTTAAATACTCTAGAAAGTATAACCCAGCCTTGTATTTAATTCTGACATTAATGTCAATTTCCATATGAGTAGGGGGAAAAGAAGACGAATATTGGGGACTGTCTGATAAAAGAAGTCTCACTCGTTTCAGTTATTTTTCAGCATTTTGAAAGAAGACGAATTCATTTAGTTATCTACGTTCCTTTTAGTGACCTCTACAAGATAGCAACAGTCCTGAGACATAGAGAAGTTTTCTTGAGTGAAGACAAGTTTATTTTAGAGATCGTGCTTTTCTAAAGTAGCGGACTGGCTGGAGAGTTTGACTAAGTATTTTATAAACAGCAATAGTACAGTGTGTATTAAGAAAAGATAAACAAAAAGTGAGCAAATATGTTTTAGTTCTAGTCATATCGTGGATGTACCGAGATCATTACGTGTTACAACTGGGAGTTAGTAAGTCCTAAATACTATACGGTTCAGTTGTTAATTATTTTTGCAAAGGTTAATTTTTTGTAGGTTTTGGCGTGGACTATGCACACTTTTAAATAAATCAATATTTGTATACCAATACGTGAAGAGCAGAGTGAAATGAAACACGAAACACTGAATTCATTGATTTTATTTTCCGGGTAGACTTGGGACGTTTCACTGCAGAATGTTAATTGGTGTGAACACAAATTTAGCGGATGATTTTCAATTATTTGTTTTTAGAATAGAAATACGAATAGTTTTTGTTTATTTTCTGGGATCAGTGTGCAGTGCCTTTCCTTGTTATGTGTTGAACAAAATTTAAAAAGTAATCGCACTTAACCTATACCGAAACAGCTTACTCAGATCCCCTGTAGCTACTTAGTTTTAGGTCCTCAGAGCCATCACATAGCAATAGTGCAGTTGAATGGGAGGATACTTTTTGTTGTACTCAAAACATCTGCTAGCCTTCATGTGAGCAGTAGGAAAATGAATAGAAACTGTAGTCCGTCCCTTTATTTGACAAGTGCAAGACAAACCATTGAGAGATGCTACAGGTGGTAGTACGTTTTTTGTTGCTTGAATTAGATAAGTAAATCAGTTGATTCCTCGAAAAGTAAAGTTTGGCACACTGACCCTTCTGCCTGAGATATTTGTTATGAATAGTAAATTACTAGTAATGTAAATTTCCGGCATGTGCATATGTTTAGTAATGCTTGTTTTTGTCGGGAAAATACAACAAAACAACATCTAATCTAATTGTGCATTCGATCCCTAAACATTTAGCTGTAGTCCTGACCAGCTCAATAGATGCACAAGTTGATTGAAAACATCTGTTAATAAAGCCATGGTCCATAGTACTGTCAGAGTATGACCGAAGTAGATTTTTTTTGGCTATTCCTTTTGCCTTTTGGAAAGAAGGAATGAGCTTTGCACTCTGTGATGTTGGGATACAACCCTGGTTCCTGAGAAAGCCCTAGGAAGTGGGTTTACTGGGGTTGTTTTCCTGGGATCTGATCCTGAGGATACAATAGATGAGCTCTTTGGGGTTCATGTGTGTTTCCACAACTTTGCCAAATAAGACTAGAATGTTGTGCCCAAACCTGACCATCAGCACAGAGAGTAAATTTACTCTTTGTACACAGGCACATGATTGACAGCAGTGTCTCTTTTTAAACATTTATTGTGTACATTACAGAGAATTACAGGAGAAACACATGTGTGAAAGAATTTGAGATGGAGCAGAAAGTCACCGCATTGTGTTCTAATATAAATACAGTCTGCGATTAAAGAATGTGACTTACTTTAGTCTTTTATTCAAGGTAAAGTTTTTTTGATTATGCAGTGCTGTGTTTATACTGGATTGTCCTTCCTCAAAAGCATTTTGTGTTTTGAAATTTGGCAATTTGAAATAATTTGATGTTTTGATTGGAATTCACTGAGAAAAGAATGTAGTCCCATGAACGTAGTTAACAGATTTCTCGAGACCAATCATAATAAACTTTTTTTCTTCTGTAAGGCAAGTTTTCATATTACTTATGATTGGGTGTGTTTACATCTGCAAGAGACAGCGATGAAGATGTTGAGGGGAAGTGGTTATTCTACAGTTGAAATGTTTACCACTCCGAGATAAGTCTTGGGCGGAGTGCTTTCTCAGTGTGTTAATATAACAGAGTGCTGTGCCCAACAGATTTCTGAACATCCTCTGTGTGATGATGCTCTGTCTTACATTTCATAATGTACAGTATGGTACTCAATGGTACATCAGGGCTGCAGAAATGAATAATTATTTGCATTTACATGTTAGTAACTGTTATATAGTTTAGTCTAATGTAGCACAAGAATTGAAAAGTCGTTTGTAAATGATTTGAAAATAAAATAGTGAAGAAATATATCTGAATGGAATGCACTCTAACTGTGATCTGACACAAAACTAGACTTTATCATTCACATTACTTATTTTAAAAGTGTCATGAAATGTTGTTTTGTGTTTATGAAGCAATTCTAGAAGGACACGCCGAGGAATTAGCACAATATCTTTGCATGAGGAGAAGCCAACAATTCCAATCCCCTTGGAAGTCCAAATCCTTTGGACTTTTTTCACCATCAGATCAAAGGAACTCCTAATATAGTATTATAATTTCTGTTTATTTTGCATGCAGATGATGTATCATGACACATACAGAAGCAAACTTTGCTGAAACCGAAGAGAACAATGTAATTTGGAATGTTTAATTCTAATTCAGTATTTTAATTCACACTGCAGATTCTACAAGTGTCCCAAGTCTTCACTAACCATTTTCACAAAATTCATTCTCAAGTTTCTTTTAGTATTTGCATTGTTTTACTTGCTTGCGTCTGTGAAATTGCTCTACTTTCTTTAGTCATTCTGAAGACGCATTTTTTTTATGGCTCTTGTCCGTTTATGTGTTATGAATGTATTCCTGACATCTGGAAGTGTTTCTGGTGACCTTAAAACTACCATCTCTCCTTTCTTAATTAATCTTGACAGTCATATACTTTTCAATTATCTTTCGATTGCTGAGTTGCATTTTTTAAAAGGTTGTGAAACATTTGTTTGCTCCCTGTCTGTTGGCACATCTAGATGCTAATACCGATTATGTAGTGTTCAGCATTTTCAGAGTTTATTTTACAATGACATATTGTACCTCACTTCAAATGCAATTAGTAACCATTGCATGTTCACTAGATCCCAACGGGACGGCATAGTGGTGCAGTGGTTAGTATTAATGCCTTGCAGCTCTGGGCCCTGGGTTCAATTCTGCATAAATGGGGGTTCAGATAATTTTATAGTACAACTTGTTCTGTATTATTGTGGATTTACTATTAAATATAAAGATTCCTGTACTTTAGTTCCTTTGATGCAGTGTTTCTGTTTGACTGCTTGGAGGCCTGGGCTTTCAATATTGGTCAAGGTGAATTTAACTCTGTTCCTCAAGCCATGCTTAGTCTGTTTCTGTTGGGGGGTTTGCTCTGCCTGTATTGCCAAGTTAGCACAAGTGGAGTTAATACAATTCAATACATACAATACAAATGAACAAGTAATAGGTTTATTCCATGCTGAAAAGAGAGGAAAGAAAACATAACGTTTCGGCCGCGGAGCCTTCTTCAGGTGTGAGAAAGACAGGGCAGTAAGCAAAGGTAATGGAGAAGGAGAACAAAAGCTGGGAGAGAGGAGGAGTAAGGGGTGGGAGCAGGGGACAGACAGAGTGGTCAATCAGGTAGTGTGAAGACAGGATAGGTGAATAGAGGTGTGAAATGAAACCTACAATGAATAAAGAGAATTTAGAAGAAAATTAGTCTGTCGCTGAGAGAAGGGGAAAGGTGTGATCCTAGTTGCA